CCGGAAGAGGAAGCAGTTTTCAAAGACATCGGACGCTCGCAAAGGACGCAAGCGAGCAAATGTTGAGCAGGATTGGGAGGAGTTGGCCAGTGATATAACTTTACTAAAAAAGTTCAAGAAGGGTCGGTTGGGAAAAAAGGAACTGAATGAGAAATTTATCGTTTAGTAATTGCGGGAATCGGTCGCAGAAGCAGAGAAACTTTTGAAACTTTTTATGTTGGGCATCTTCTTCCCTTTACATTTCTTCATGGAATGTGTGTTTTTCATTTAAGGTCCATGAAATTATCAAAATTTGGTTGTCTCTAGTTGCTTTGATTGACTGAAGTAATACGTGTTGAATGGACAAGTACTGTTTACTCGTTGATTATAATTTTGTTGTCTGTTACATTTCGTGCTTTCGCGTTAATTTGTCTTTCTGAAGTTAATGCTCCAAGTCTTGTTGTGAGTTTTGCATAGCTGAAGTAACAACTTGGTGATTATCTCTTTAAAATCCCAAGAACACATTTGCGTAAGTGAATAATAACAATGAGGAAACGGCTATTAAGATTCCTAAAAGTTTGCAAATTTAACCTCAAGTGTAGTGTTGTTTTTAAAACTTATATTTTTAAATTAACCGAACTAAAAACCAGTATTGGTAATAAAGAATAGAAAATAAGGGGACTACCCAATGTAGAGAACCCGCAACGTTTCTGGCACCACGAAAGAGCAGTCTCATTACGATGAGTAAGAAGAAGATCACAATTATGCACGTGGTAAAAAGGAAGTTGAAAGAGGTTTAAGGAAGGTAAGAGAGTTTAATTGTAAAAAATAATGGGGAAGGTAGCATAAATATTTTTTTACGGAGCGTCAAAACGAATAACGGCGTTCTAAAATAGCAAACTAAAAGGAGTTGTAGCTGGACAGTTATAGAAGCGGACATTGGTGACCATAAAAATGAACTGTCGTGTTCTTCAAACCTAGGTCCTTCTTCCGCAAGTTCACAGTTTAGAGTCTTTTGACTGGCGAAGTAAGGTTCAAATTTGCTCGAATGCATTCAGTCTTGCTACTTTTAAAGTGGCTCTTTTTTGCTCACTTTCTGATGATCTCAGAGAAAAATGTTCAGCAGCAGCCTTTTAGCTGTTCAAGTTGAACTTGTTATCTTATTCTGCGACACTATGTAAAAAGCTTCCGGGAAAGTTTGGCCATTTAAACGCATCAAAAAAATGTTCTGCATACTATGTTCATGGCGTTTTTTGCTTTTTAGATGCAGTTATGTTTTTCTAAGGGTATCCTGAACGGTTTGAATCAGAAAACTTTTTAAATTAAAATAGCTGGCAGCTACGATACTCGGTAAAAAAGACTTCAGGAGTGTCTGCTATTGTAAATTCACTTGTCCAAATTCAACAATAAATTAAATTAATCATTCGAAACTGATAGAAAGCTAGAACAAATAGTGAACTTAAATTCCAATAAATATAAAAATCAAAAACTTACAGGTTTTAAATGATCACTGCTTCACTGCACTCAATCACTACGAAAGAAGCAAGACCTCCAGAGTCAATAAATAAGGAGGCAGAGAACACACTATATAGTAAATAAATATCTTCAGAAATAGCCAAGAAATTTCAAAGATTTCCTTTCAAATCACATAAGCAAATAAAAGTACATCAAAAATTAAGTACACCAAAAAGGAAGAAAAAATTATTGGCTATGCTTATACTTTACTTTATTTAATACTTATTCTACTTATTCTTTACAAATAACTTTTTATTTGCAAGTCAGAACTTTAAGTTTAAAGAATCTCTTCCATTGTATGTTATTTGGCTCCGCTGTTTCAAAAAGTAGGAAAGGAATCCTAAAACGTTAAACTTATTTTGTTAAATACGTGATATAAGTGACATTCTGATTAACCCTTTTCGTTCTCTTATGTTTTTTTTTTCTCTTTTTTGATTTGCGGACACTGTTCACTCTTTAGCCTATAGTAACATCAATACCATCCACATTACTTTGCGATGAAATCTTTTAGCCAAATGTCTGTAAAAAACTGTCCCCAAAAGTCGAAAAAAGATCTACGAACTGTTATGGATGGAACAGTAAGAAAGGAAAAGAAATGAGGTGGTAGTAAAAAATGGTACAGCTGCAATTAAAACACCAAGGAACAAATTAACAGAGACGGGAGAGTTAAGTTCAGTATGGCAAATTCGTAAATATAATTGTTCCAAGCTTGTCAAAAACTGCAGCGGAAGCTGCAAAGGAATGCAAGTCAATAGTCGCTAGTGCTGCTGCCCCTATACGTACGAAATCAGCTGCCACTTTTGGCCCAATTAATTCGCGCAGCGCTTCTTAGGGTCGGCTTCGGCGGGGGAACGTAGTATGGCAGGTATAGGCAACCACCACGTTGAAAAAAGGCCTATACAAAGACAAGTGGAAGGAATAAGATTTCTGCAGTAAGAGGATTTGGGAAGAGAGACTGGTGTAGTAACATACTCTAAACCCCTTTCTGCAAATCTACGGCACTGATGCTGGTACTTATGAGCCCACTAAGAGGAAGGAGACGGCGTAACGCTAACGATTTTCTTGGTTAAACGGGCATCTGTAAAATAGGATTGTTCACAGAAATCAAAACCCATGAGGTACACCGGCTGAGGATTCAATAAGTGTACGTAACCGCAGTGCGCAGAGAATCATGCAAGAAGGATCGACGTCATTATAAAGTGATTCCTCAAGGGTTGGCTTTGTGCCAGTTCAGTTGCAAATTCTAGTTACAAAGCCGCTGACAATTCTTTATGCTCTCATCTATATGCAATAAAGGTGACTCGTTTAACTGTATTTCGCGAGTATTTACAAAATGTCGGTGAAGAAGTAAGTATAACGTTTATTGTTTGTTTTGATTAAATTACTTTTGTTTTACTTTTTGTATTTAGATTTGTGTTTTTTTTTTTTCATTTAGTGAGTAGAAGCTAGACTTATTCGAAGAGTTGGTAGGCGTTTGTGGAGATCAAACAGATTGTCGTTTGAAAAACTTTGTTTCACAGGGTTGGCGAGGGAGTTACGATTAAAAGGGCTGACTTATTGAATAAAAATTTACGTTTGCTTCTGTTTTTGGACCGGACCGTTTGTGTTTAATGTTTCTAGAAAGCTGTCCAAATAGAAAATTTCCAGTGCAAAAAGCGTGATCTTTCATACTTTTGCCATTTTTAGGGTGAAACTTTGAAAATAAATAATTGACTAGTATACGAGTGCATCTTATTAGTAAAAGGAAGTAATGCTAAGCAAGGTCCTGATGAGGTAAATTCAAACCAGAGAACAGGTTTTATGATTCATAGAAGCAAATTGAAGGACGGTATCTATAAAAATTATCTATTTTTGAAGTAGGAAAGGTGAACCATACAGATGTTGTTTCATCAATTTAAAAGTCCTATTTAGTACTCCTGGTGAGTGAAACTTCAAGAAGTTTTACTATTTTATTCTTGACTTTCTTAAGCGGAGAGCCGCATATTATAATTTTGCAACCTTACTATTCAGTTCATTAATAATGTTGCTGCTTCTTGTGAATAGGAAATTCTTTCCTTTCGCCTCCCCCACCACACGTGGAAAGATTTCGAGAAAAACTTGAGAGACGAGCTCTAGGGAACGATAGGGAAGGAAAAGCGGAAGGTGCTGGACAGTGGAAGCGGGCGGAAACAAAGAGACAGAGTAACTTCAATCTTCTTTTGTTAAACCCTCAATCAGTGCTGTGTAGAACTTCCTCTGTAGTTCACAGTAATCTCTGTTAGAGGCCTTTCGCTCATTATTGGGTTCTGCAAGAAAAAAAAAGACTTTGCCGCTGATTTGTAACTTTTTTGTGTGCACTCCCTTAAATATTTTTAGTAGTGTTATGGCCACTGTGACTTCACCGTTAAAGTCGGCTGCCGGATTAAAATCATTAATTCATTTTTAAGTACTCAAACCTCGCTTATCGTGACAGAAGTTTAACTTGTTATTAATTTAATATCTAGCACGCATAGGCAGATCAGTTGGCCAGCTCACAAAAGATGTGCAGCCAATCAAAGAAATAGTTGGCAGTGTGGCGCGCTCACGCTGTCTAGTCTAGAAAGTAGTCAATCCACTCCAGAAAGTGTCAACCACAATCGCTCGGCAACTTCCAACCAGAAGTGTCACTTAAGCGTTTGTCGGTTTTTTAATCGCATTAGTCTCAGCCAAAAATTTTCCTAGTGGGGACTTGATATTAGGAGACATGGTGGTTCCGGCAACTTACATCGTTATGAAAGAGCTGTACTAATTTCTCTGTTTGTATCTTTTGCGAAAGATTCGCTTTTCAGCAGAAGTGATAGAAAATAAAAAAACTACTTGTATAACAGCATAAAAAGACAATGGAAACGTTATGTTTGGAAATAAGTAATTTTATAACAAACTTTTAAACAATTAGCCAGTTGAATTTATAAAATTCTCTCGTAAATTTTTAATCTCCTAATAATCACTAGACAAGGGAAGTTTGCCTCTCTAATCTACTAGTGACGCGCAGTCACCCAGATAACTCTTCAACTATAAATCGCACGTTATTCCACTTTGAACCGCTTCTGTTATACTTGCTATTTCTATCACGTTTTTTTTTTCATATTATTTTTCAAGTCTTTTCACCTGATTTGTTCTTTACTGTCTTGATTTTCAGTAAGCCTGTCCCACATCCTCCTTTACTGTTTGCATTTTTTTTCCTCCTTCGCTTTGGAGAGCTCTCAACTCTCTTTAAGTACTCTTGCGGACGGTTTTTTCTTGCCGGAGGAGCAACCGATCGCTCCCTTTGTTGTAAAAGGCACTTGAACCTATAGCTCTTGGTTCTGAGGAGTATTTGATAAATTCTGGACAGTTGCATTTGTGGACAGGTATTCTTTTTCTCATTTCTTCGTATACTGACGCATTTCTATTTAATTTCTAGAAGAGCCATGTATTTCTTCACTCCTATCTTTCAATAATTCTGTTGTATATTTGTGTCGGTTCATTCCCACAGAAAGTCATTTTTGATGTTAATGTGGACAGTTAGAAGTTTTATTTATTCAAATTTGAGTCTTTCGAGTCAAGTTCAAGTAGAAACTACGTAATGGTTTTTAAGGTTTTAATGAGTGGATAGAGTGGAGTCAAAAACCGTGTGCACGAAAAATAGCTAGAACCATAGGCAAAAGAGTGGTC